TGCAAACAGAGAAAAAATATCGTTATTGGTAATGCAACGTTAAGTCCGTTGTAGGATGAATACTTTTTTTCTTATGGATAAAACTTTTATATTTATTTTTATTTATTCGTTTATTTATTTATCTATAAATTTACTTTCATTTATCTCTTAAAGAATGTGCATTCAGGAACATGTTTCAAAGATTCCTTAGCACAAATAAAAACCTGAATAGAATATGTAACGTAATCTGTATAACTCATGTTCAAGGGTATGTTGATATACTACAACAACAACAACAACAACAACAACAACAACAACAACAACAACAACAACAACAACAACAACTACTACTACTACTACTACTACTACTTAAAAAAAAAAAAAAAACACAAAAAACAGGTTCACAATACGAAATAAAAAAGTTTCGAGAGAGATGAAGTTCTTACCCAGACGATAAAAGGAAATAAAGAAGAAGAAGGAGAAGAAGAAGAAAAAAACACTTCTGATTTCAGATAAGGAGTCTTCTCGTAACTCGAAACGTCACGATTTTGATTTCCTATCTTAATGTATTTGTATTTCGTCTCATCTTTATAAAAAAATATATATTTTTTACTTATAAATAATTTCCACTCTCAACTTTTTCCCCCTCAAAACTAAGCAAAAGAGACACAGAGTAAGAGAAAGAAAAAAGAGAGAAACAGAAAGAAAGAGAAATGGAGAGAAACAGAAAGAAAAATGAAGACATAGAAACAAAAAAAAACAGAGACAGAAAACGTAAGATTTCCAAAGACAAATCTAGCTGTCACCAATACAGACCCAGACAGTATTTAGACGAAAGTAGACAGTCCAAACTAGACGACCCCGGACCTCGAAACTAACTCACTCTAATCAAGGGTGATTCGCCTGAAGCTATTTAAGTGGCTTTTTGGAAATTGGCAAAGGGGGAATTTGAGAGCTGGGAGGGCGGGGAGGGCGGGGGGGGGGGGAGAGACGGGGAGGGCGGGGAGAGGGGCAGGCGGAAGGGGAAAGAGGGAGAGGGGGAGAAAGGAGAGGAGGAGGGGGAGGAGGGGAGGAGGGGGAAGGGAGGAGGAGGGGGAAGGGAGGAGGAGGGGGAAGGGAGGAGGAGGGGAAAGGGTAGAGGAGGGGAAAGGGTGGAGGAGGGGGGAAGGGAGGAAGGGGAGAAGAGGAGGAGGGGAATGGAAGGAAGAGGGGAAAAGAGGAGTGGGGGGGTAGAAGGAGAGGAGGAGAGAAATTGAAGGAGGAAGGGGAAAGGAGGAAGAGAGTGACGGGGAGGAGGAGGGGGGGTAGGAAGGGGGGGAAGGAAGAGGGGACGGTGGTAAAGAGGAAAGATGAAGGATGAAGGCTTGATGATGAAGGTAAGAGGCAGAGAAGGAGAGGGCGGAGAGAAGGAGGGGAGAGGGGAAGATGGGACGAGGGGAGGGAAGGGGAAGAGGAAAGGGAAGCGAGAGTGGATTGGCTGAGAACTTTCTGGTTCAGTTGAGGCGTTTATCGCTCCCTCTCTCTCGCTCGCCCTTTATGGGCGTCTCTCACCCTATGTCTATCTTTATATATATATATATATATATATATATATATATATATATATATATATATATATATATATATATATCAATATATCAATATATCAATATATATATATATATATATATATATATATATATATATATATATATATCAATATATCAATATATCAATATATATATATATATATATATATATATATATATATATATATATATATATATATAAATATATATATATATATATATATATACATATATATATATATATATATATATATATATATATATATATATATATATATATATATATATATATATATATATATATGTATATATATATATTTATGCATGTATGTATACACATACACACACACATATATAAATATATATATGCATGTATACACAGACACACATATTCAAATGAATATATATATATACATATATTTATATGGTTAACTGCTGTTTTAGCAAAGTAGGATTCTGTATATACATATATTTGTAGATATGTATATATATATATATATATATATATATATATATATATATATATATATATATATATATATATACACATACATACATATATATACATATATGTATATATATACAAATTATTTATTCATATA